TGCTTTAGGGCTGTCCAGCCTAGGCGTTTGATAACTATTCTTTCCAGGTTTTTTTCTATATAGAAGAGTAGAGCAATAGGTTTCCATAATCTTGCGGATATCATATCCTTTTTCCCAATTTTGGGTAGCATAGCCATTTCAGTTAATTTCCAGGTTTTCGGGAAATGGTTGTATTCGAGGCATTTCTGGTAAAGCCATCTTAGCGGGTTCTTGAGGTAGTTCTAATATACTTTGAGGATTCTGACCATGATTTAGTTAATTCCTAGGGATATGCTAGATACTCCAATAACGCTTGCTTCAATTTTCTTTAATGTGAACTGGGAGTTTTAGGGTAAGTATCTATTTCTTTCCTATTGATCTTTCAACAGGTTGTGCTCCAGGTTGTTTTTTGTATTGAAGCAATCCAGGATTTCAATCCTGAATACTTCGGCTTTTTCTATCGAATCTTTTATTACTATTCTGTTTGAGATGATTAAAGGGTTTTTAAGGTTCGGGGCTAGCTTATGCCAGCTGACTATCTTGTACAAGTCTTTGTTACTGGAGATGTTGTTTATGACGTGCCTTCAGTATTTGTGTTTAGCTGCTTTGATTATTGTTTTGAAGTCTTTCGTTGTTGTAGTGAGAAGGCTTCCTGATACAGCTTGTCTGTTTAGGTGCTCAGTATAGGCCCTTTTGCATTCCGTTGTTCATCAGGGTGCTGCCTTGCCTTTTCCTCTATCTGTGGTTTCTACCACAGTCATTACTTGCTTGATGATTTGTGTGAATTGTTTAGCGAAGTCATTTATTCTTTCTGGGGTATCGAGGGTGTCATTTGTAGGCAGGTATACTACTCTGTTTGCTATTAGTCCTGTTAGTTGTGGTAGTTCTGTTTCCGGGACACAGATGTTATACTGATTTAGAGGCTTGGTTCCTCTGCCAGGTATTGTTGTTATTAGGGTGTGATGGTCTGATTTGCTGTACAGGTCATATCGGACCCTGGTTTTTGCAAAGGGGATGTTAGAGAAAGTAAGATCAAGCACGTTTCCTTTTATGTAGGTAAACGCTCCTCTCTCTCCAATATATTCTAGTTCAGCTAGGTCTGCCCAGGCTACTAGTTCATTCCTTTTGCAATAGTTCTCCGATCCAGGTTGCCATATTTCGTATATAGCATTGAAGTCACCTCCAATGAAGCATCCTGGGGGCGGTTATAATTCGGTGATATACAATAACATTTGTTTTATTCGTAGTTATCGGTATACATTCAGTATAGGGTACCCGTTTATGTTTATCCAGAGTATATTGCGGCTTTTGATTGGTTGTCTCTGTTAAATTTGCAGTTTCATTCCTTTTCTGACATATATCAATACTCAGGATCTTTCTGCTTTTCTTTATTCGGGGGATGTTCCTGTTCATAAGTTTATTAGTGTATATAAGATTTATCCAGAATATATTTTGATTTTTGTAAACAGGAATATAAAGGATTCCTGTACACACAGGACATCTGTTTTGTTTTCAAATATTATTTGTAATATAGTATCGTGGGCCTCTGGTATTCTGTCCATATTCGCCCAGCAGACTGTTAAATCCCATATCCTGGACTAGTGATGATTATGCATGTTATTCTGATGTGTTGGGCGTTTACTCATGTGTATTGGGTTGGAGGTCTTCCTTCATTTCGGTGTCCTGTTGGCTACCAGCTAGGACTTCCTTATTAAATCTTGATTTCAGTAAAGGTTTTTGTTCTAATTGGCTTGTTGTTGTTGTGTCTCTTTTGAGCTGTGTTTTCATCATACTATCTCCAAGGTTTTCATAGGTTGTAATCTGCTCTCTTCAATGTTTGAGTACTGATGTAGGGGTGGGTGTGGGAATAGGTGTATCTGGTGCAGACCCCTTTTTAGAATTATCCTTGGGCTTCTGGTTAGCGAGTATTACTACTTCTATAGTCAGAGCCAGTTTTCGAATAGCCTTGAATTATGACTTGGTAGGTGTTGTGACTTTGTTATCCACTACCTTAGGTGCTGCAGGGCAGTTCTGGTGTCCTGCCGCGAAAGGTCCAAAGCAATTAGCACATCGTGCTTTTGCTGTGTAATTAGATTTTTGTGGGCTCTTATATGCATCTTTTTGTACACCGCAGTTTGTGCAGTGGGTGAGCCTAATATATCTTGCTGAATTGCACCAGCCCTGGCATTTGGTGTCATGTCAGGTTATCATAGGTTTTGTCTTAATCTCTTGTGTTAGTTCGCTAATATTAAAAAGCCTGAAACTACGGACTGGTTTTAGGAAGGATATTATTCATATAATTGTGCTGTTGTGGGGGTTGGTTCTATAGCGTGAGGGTCTGCAGCTTATTGGGGTTTGGCCCATCTGTGCTTGGACCTTCGCTTTTACATAATTTGCTATATCGACTGGGAGTCCTGTTATTGTATAGATCGATGCTGAAACCCTAGGGATTGTATAATTGAATTAAGTTATTGATTGATGTATTTGTATGCCTTGGCTGATTTTGAGGATAATCTCTTTGTTCTCCTGTATAAGGAGTAGTACTTAGGTGGCCAGATTCTTTGGTATGATAGTCTATTTTGTTTTGATAGTAGATATGGTAGGGACATCTGCCAGTGTCAGGCCTGTGATTGCCTCAACAAAAGCATTTCTTAGCGCATACGGGATTGGCCTGCTGATCTGGGCTGCAGGGCTAATAACTATTAGTAACCTGTGGTCCGTACTCCAGACAATTCGTATCGCCTGTTGTTTAGCGCACGTGTTATCGTATAAAGCCTTTAGTAAAACCTCTTGGGGTATGGGTGAGTCCTCTTGGCCCGCTCCGTTCTGACTTGTTTTGGGGGTCTTAAGAATCTCTGTATAGGTTTTAGTAATAGTTTGTGTTTTCAAAGAAATTGTGTTTCTTATCGCTGATAGTGTGTACAATAAATTCGATACTCGGTCAGATCCATCGTTGATAGATAATGTAAGGATTTCAACAACTCTAGTGTTCAGTTTCCTGGCAGCTGTTCTTTTGTCCCCCACGGTGAAGAAGTTGATATATCTGTCAATTGCCTCTATCAGGTTAGTTATAATCTTTCACTGAATCCTTTCAGTATATTCATACTCAGCAAGTTTGGTCTTGAAGGCTTTTATCGCTGGGCTAATGTTGTTATTGTTCGCTTTGTTTCCTAGTTTAAAGATTAGTGATATCTCGTTTGTAAAGATATACTGCCTTCTTTTAAAGCGATTTCATAGATTAGATAGCATTTCTGGATCCTGCAGATTAATGAAATCTGCATTTTCCAGGTCAACGACCTCAGGCAGTGTTGTATGAGACGTTATTTTGTCTTGTATAAAATGGTATGTATTGTATATATTGTTGTGACTCTGTAGAGCTTGAATTCAGACCGAATTTCAACTTCTGGCGACCAGAAATTTTTCTTCGGAATATTGTGTTTGGGTGGTGAAATTATAGGAAAACCTTTGGCATAACTATATATTGTACAACAATCATCTAATCGTAGTATCACTGAAAGATAATCATGGTCAAAAGGGGATAAAGTAATTATTCGTCTAAACACTGAGGGTAGATATAACTTTGAAGGGGTAAAACATGATGACCGATCTAAACTACTGGAAGAGGGGGTATAAGTACCCTCTCTAGACTATCATGTGACTCTAATATTATTGATTGGTTTCCTCACAATATACTTCCTTTCTATTTATATAATATATCTATAAATTATATATCAAAGTTATAAATAGCAAGAACATTCTGAATTAAGATGTTTTTTCTATTTCGATATAGAACTTTCTCTTATTCTAATAATAAAATAGGAATATAAATTCTATTGATAATTCTAATATTATTTTTGAAATATGGAAAATACTTCGACTTTTGAAATATCTTGAGGTATAAAGATATAAAGATATAAAGATAATAAAAGATTATATAATAAATCAATAGAATACAAAAGAAAGAAAGTATTTCATAATTTTATAATAGGTTTTATCAATAGTCCAAATACTTTATTAAAATCACTCTGCAAACCATTATATCAAAAGATTAATAATAACTATATAAAGGAATATGCCAAATTATTCTATAATAGATATATATCAAATACTTATTATATCTATTATTTTGATTAATTAATCTTCTAACTATAGAAACCTAGTTTGAGAGATCCCTAGATTATTCTTGATTTTTTCAAAATGTTCAAAAACTAATTCATATATTCATTGAATATCAGATATTTTGGAGATATATTGTGAATGCCTATAGAAGTTATATTTATAATAAATAGTGGCTATAGTTACAGATAATACTGAAATCATCATCAAAAGCTTTTAATTACGCTTTTTCCTCTTTTTCAATAATGGTGATATTATAATTATAGGATTAAATCAAATTATTAGATGATATTAGGGAACTAGGGTAGATAGACTAGCGAAAGTATACATTCTTCAATTTTTACATTTTTCAAATATAGCTTTTTCAAACATGTTTTATTTATATGGTATACCTCTAAGTATATGGATTTGTGTACACTCTTCAATTTGAACTAAATGGATTTTTGAAAAGTACACATTTTTATTTATGTAGTGGAGTGTGAAAAATTATTTTGGTGGTACACTTTTGCGTACACTACCAAGCCAAACAGGCCCTTAGATAATGTGTAGAATTTCTATGGGTAGTATCTAAAACTTCTATCTGGATAATCAACTAATGTAAACCGAACCCTAATTCAACTACTAAAAAGAGTCCTCTACCGGCATGGAGTCTTCTTTTGGTGGTCATGCTGTGAATTCTGTAGGAATAGCTATAAGTAGAACTAATACGTTAGATAGAAGAATTGTACTCGTAGTGGAAAGAATATGGCAAGCGGAGACTTAGCTAATGGGCTGCAATAGAAGGCGGTGACCGATGAAATGGCAGAAAATGTGACTTACATTTTACCCCTCCACAATTTTGAAGAATTTCGAAATTCATCATAGACATCACTAGAATCACTAGAATCTCTCGAAAGAACATCAACATGCCGACCGATTTAGAAGAGGCAAGACTCAGTTATTTTTTTTTTCTTACTATACTGACTATTATCATAGCTTGTCGATTTCATATCTCATGGAAATACTCAAGTGCGGACGGTTGGTATGTTCAAATTGTTCGAATCATCGCCAAACTTTTGACTGATTGCGCCACAACAGCCGTCGAGAATTTGATTCCATATTCATTATCGAAGACTTCAATATTCAAGACGAATGATCTTTTGCCAGTAAAGGACTTGAAATTACTGGTCCGCGACTACAAAGTACGACCGCAACCTCGTAGACACCTTTATTAGTGGAGGCGCAACTGACGCCTATACAGCAAATCGCCAAAGATGCGATCACAATCCTCATTAATCTGTCGACAGACAAGGAGATCTTAGAATCTCTTGCCAGCGATAAAGAATTCATCAACACACTACTTAGCAAACTGACAGTATGTCAGTCTTCATGAGGTCTCCCCATGGACAACATCTAACAGCGCTTTGCCTACAGAAACCCGCAGAACCAAATGCAAACCTCATTGCTATGTTACTTGCGAATCTCGCAAAATGGGACGACCTGAAGCAGATCATAACCGACGAACGTCCTGCTGCACCGGAAGAATTAAGCTCGAATAATCGCGCGATTGATCAACTGATGGACCTTTTCGTGAAGGGTGCTGATGGGACATACAATAAAGATGCAGATTACGACTACCTGGCATATCTATTCGCAGATCTAGCTAAGCACGAAGAAGGACGGAAATACTTTTTGACGAAACAAGAATACGATGGCGTCGTACCTCTTACAAAAATGACGGTTTTCACCGAACATAAATCTGAGATTCGTCGCAAAGGTGTCGCCTCGACGATAAAGAACGTTGCGTTCGAAATTGATTCGCATCCATCATTCCTGGCAGAGGATGAGATTAACATATTGCCATATCTACTGTTACCTATTATGGGAAATGAGGAATTCGACGAAGAGGATACCATGGCGATGTTACCAGATCTACAATTGTTACCGCCAGATAAGGAGAGGGATAGCGATCCGACGATCATACAAACACATGTGGAAACATTGATGTTACTAACGACCACAAGGGAGGGGAGAGATATTATGAGGGAGATCAAGGTTTACCCAATCATAAGGGAAACTCATTTGAAGGTTGATCATGATAATATGAGAGAGGCTTGCGAGAGACTTGTACAGGTTCTGATGCGAGATGAGGAGGGAGAAGAGAGAGTGGATGCAGGCATAAAAACTTTGACCAGAAAATCCGACAAGCCTTTTTCATCTCCGAAACCATTCTCATCGCAGTCAAATGGTGTTTCGGGAGGTTGGGCATCACAAGATGCAGAAGACCCTGCGTCAGATTCGGATGATGATAAGATAGTAGATGTATAAACTATCAAATATATTGGATATATCAAGTCCATGATATGATATCATTGCTGCATCCCAATCTCATTTTCTTCATTTCACACATTTCCAACATATACTATCATTGTATCTCCTTAACAAACACCTTCACATCCATCCCCCCTCAGCTCAAAACAAAACTATTACTAACCGCCGTAAACGCCGTAATCTTCCCCAAAAAATTCTTCGAATCCCCATAATACCTAACCCTATACGTCCCCGCCTCCGTCGCATCGCCCGTCCCCGTCTCCCAACTCACAACCACACTACTCGTCCCCGTCAACCCATTAATTCTCCTCCACGTATACACCACAAACCAATCCGCATCATCCCTCACCACCCTCCACTCCCCATCGCCCCCCAATTGCTCAACAGCCGTATACGTACCCTCGAGCCTCAAATTATTGCGCGGGTTCGCCCCTACAAATGCCGTGTTTACTACGGCGCCTATCTTGTAGCTGGCAGAGGGCTGCGCGCTCACGGTGCCGAAGTCTCCACTGTCGTATATCACTCCTGTTATGAAACTTAGACTGGAGTTTACGTTGTTGGGTGGGCTGGGGCCGGCAAATGGTTGGCTGTTGTTGCTAGTAGCTAGATAACCGATGGATTGAGTGGTGAGGTGGATATAAGCGTCGAGGGAATGTGGTCCGTAGAGTGTAGAGGCCCCTTCGTACCGTTGGATAGCGTATTCTTCGGGGGTGGCGAGATAGTGTGCGTAGGTGTTTGCGGGGCCTCCGAGCACAATTTGGGGTGGGGAGGTCGTTATGAGGGATGAGGTGGCGGCGTGGGAGATGGCGCTTTTCCAGCGGCGGCCGGACATGGTGGTTGCTTCGGAGGGGGAGATGATGATGATTAGTTGGCCGACGCGGAGGAGTTGTATGTCGACTGTGGGGGGAGGAGGGTTAGCGGGGTGGGTGATGGATGGGGTGTTGGGACTTGGAACTTGGGGGTGATGTGGAAAAGGGATGTGGGAAGAGGAGAGATGGATGAAGGTTGTAAAATTATATTATGGGAATGAAACATACCGATATTTGGAGACCAGGAATAAGGACTGTACATTTCGCCAACATCTAGAAGAACGGGCTTGGGATATTGACAGGCGACCTAATAGTACATACATTAGCTTTCTACAGCAATCAATGCGCATATTACTGAGAACAACATACCTGTTGAGCAGATGGCACTTTCAAGAGACCAGATACCACTGACCAAAGAGGATTCGAAGGTACACCTGGATCATTCTGCGTGAAATCGAATGCTCCTGGCCCATCACTAGTACCTGCCGCAAACGAATATCCTAATGCTGCCGGACACGTTTGCACAATCGATCCATTTGCGAGTGGAAAATCGTAAAATTGCATATCTTGGAAGAAATGGAAGGATTTGACACTGCCATCCACGACGGGTGTACCGACTGTATCCAATGTATCCTATAGACATCAGAACTGGAAAATTCGGGGCAGAGGAAGAAGACAAGACTTACATAGAGAGACTGAGCTCCTGCATATTGTCTCTGTCCGATAATATAACAACTCGAAACTCCCAAATCCAATGCTTGGAACGCGGGACCGCGACCGTGACACGTCTGGGATATACCGGCACAGGTACTGTTGTTTACGGTACATTGCTTTCCAGAGCCATCGTCGCACCATGCGCCTAGAACATTGGGGGTGGTGTCTCCTACGCTTGATTGGGAGAAGCCGGCTACGAAACCTGGGGCGGCTTTGGTGTCGGTTAGGGCGGCTTTTTCGAATAGATTTGCTGCGACTCCTTTGTTGTCACCTATAGCTATTGTTAGCGTGGGTAAATCTCGTGGGAATACTGGGAAAGGTGGGAAACTTGCCCGTGACATGTGTGTTGTTTTCTAACATGGAAGTACCGTGGACGCTGAACCAGGTCAATACGCCAATGTTTAACCCATCGGATGCTCGTTGGAATCGAAGCATAGTTAATGTCTTATCAACATCATCTGTATATAATGCCCTTTCCGCAGCTGGGTTGGCTAGATATGCATAGATACTGCGATTGATATTTGCATTTGTGATGTTTGTGTCGCCGGTAGTTAAATATCCAGTAGTGAGCGATTCATGCGCTCTCTTGATCGAGAGAACTGCGCCATCGATAATTGCTTGGTAGCTCTGCTTGTCAAAACCTAGGGAAGTGATTTGAGGTAGAAGATAGTTGAAATAGGCTCCAGGACCAGAATGCTGATGTGTTCCTGTGACTGCGATGTTATGTTGTCCGTAGACCGAATATGCGGATTCAAGATTGGCTAATGCTTGGAGTATTCCATATCGGATTGCAGTATCCCCAGAAGCGGTGTCGAGTACTAGGTATATGAATCGATTGGATGGATTGTTTACATCTCCGATAATAAAAGCTCGAGAGTTGATTCGTTGACGGACCCCAGTTCCAACTTGGGGGAGACTAGCATATCCCATAAAGTTCACTTCGACAACAGGACTATTAATGTCAGCAAAGGATGAGCACGAAGGAACAAATTAGGGTCTCACCCCGTGATATCAGCCTTGCCGACTCCTATGAGATATAGATCACCTGTTGCTCGTGTTTCGTGGTCATGTTCATGTGTCCATTCAGAACTGGTATTGGGAAACTCGTTGTTTGGCTGAACACTCTCGATCTTTGCAAGTCCCATAACCAATGCGGTAAATGCAGTAAACAAAATAAAGCCAGCGAATGCGTATAATATTACACTTGCTAGTGATTTTTTGAGAGGAATCTCACGTTTCTCGTCCTCCACCTTCTCGTCCCCAGGGACTTGCGAATATTCGTACCTCGACATGATTAATAGCCAAAGCGCAAAAGCACAATGAGAAAAGAAAAGGTATAAACAAGACGGCAGCAGGTAGATGATAAATTACCAGAAATAATATTCATATATTGGTGTGGCTCGCGTGGTAAAATCATGGTTACACGTGCTGTCTTTTGACCTTGCAGAAGATTCCAGTCTTAAGATGATAGCGGAAATTTGGACAGATGAAGTAGTTGTGCATGGAAAGGTTCAAACATGATAGTATGATAGCATCGCTTGCATCTGAATCTGAATGTAACGAGGGGTTCGGTGATCAATTCCTCCTTTGGTATTATCAGCCGATCAATCCCCCTGATAATCTTCTGTACAACCTATAGTCGTACTTGAATATGGGGAAACATTGCGACGAACAAGTTTTGATTTGCTGCACATCTATAGATGCATGTCCTATTTCTATTTATAGCTAATGCGAGAGATCAAGCCTTCGTTGGAAAGGGAGCTCGGGGAACTTGTTTTCAAGTGGTATTGTTAAATTTGGCAGGTCGTTGATTTAAACCCCTGGCCAGCTGCAACCATATTGACCTCTCGGTACAGTACTTCTTCGTATCGCGACTTACATGTGATCAATATATATCAATATCTCTTGTCAAGATACCCCTCATTCTTTCGAAATTGGAGAGCTTGTTAGGCTAAAATGGTAAACATGTATACCCTATCAATGTTACACATCTATACTGTAATATAATAGAATCGTAGATCCTTTCGCAACGGCTGAATTGCTAAAACCGTGACTATCACGGTGAGCCAACAATGTAATTTAGGATCACTTAGCTCTACTTCATTCAGCATGGGCTTATATCGAGATGTGATGCGGAGTGGTATGGTGACAAACTCGTTGCTTCAAGTTATAGTGATTAAAGTGCAGTATAGTGTTTAGTCGCGATGTCATACCGGCAGATAAATATAAAGGGAGAGTGAATTGAGCCTGAGCGAAATGTCTGAGGTGCGCGTTTATCAAGCCTCGGCTAAAAAATCTGAACAACGCATTAGTTCAGGAATCGCAATCTCAGGCCTTTCCTTCAAAACGTCTTGAATCTTAATTTTGCAGAGTCAGGTTGAGAATTGTAGGACTATGGGCTGATTTGGTCAAGTGGATAGTGCAAAATACATTTGACAGAGTGGTCGAGGCCCTTCTGCCAGCCCTGAGCTCGGGATGGTAACAAAGAACTGCTCTTCCGCCAAGTGGTGGGGGCAGTCTCATATCGAAAAAGGTTCATCCGAATTGAAAGGCGACGGTGAAAAGAAAAGCTTCTTCATGCAGCTGCTCACAGGCATTATGCTGAGATTGTGCGTTTGTTGTTCGATTATGGAGCCTCAAGCAAACCATAATAGCCGATTGGCTTTACTTCATTTGGAGATGCGAGAGGACAGAAAGTGGAATGCTCTTCGTGAAATAGAATAAAGGTCGCAGAACGAGACAAGAGAATATCAAAGTCACTAAAACTGATGTCTGCACCTCCAGAAATACGCCCGCCGAGATTGTAGCATATCTGTGTGACTCGATTGTTACTGTGTGGCTGTATCCCACTAAGCCTGGGACGCGCAATGTCGAGAATTAATTGGGCGAACCGAGACCGATAGGTGTTTACTATTTTCGGCACTAGATCCAGCCTCAATTATCGTCCTGGTTTTATTGACGGAGCTTTGATGAGCTGACTACACTCATCATTACACTTGAAAAGGTCTGTCACTATTGTCAGAAAAATTGCACAATAGCAACGATCTTTTACTGTCTTGCCGTCTTCCGTTATACCTTTGTTCCAGAGAAAATTCACTGCTAGGAGACCAAGGGTACTAAAGTAAGAAATTCTTTTCGTTTGTGTCAGAACTGAAGTACTTTGATGTTACGTCATGACTGATATCAGAAAAGGTTTGGTTGATGTTACGGGACCAAGACTTGTTAGTCTTTGGGTTCTGAGAAAATAAGTAGTGAATCGCTTCTAGAACAATGCCTTTTTCAAAGGTCATCTTTTTCGGTGATGTCCGTATTGTTCTTCACATTTCGCTTAACGAACAATACTAAGGGGAAGCACCACAATCAATCCTCGGCTCAAGGTATTGTATCTCTTATTAGTGTAAAACTATGGGAATTGAAATTTTGTTTGATATCTTCTCTTCTCACTGTAAAAATTTTGTTCAATGTTTCCCACATCATTCATTGCACACAAGATTCCGCTTCCATGACAATACTGAAGGGAAAAGGCTTGAAGAGCCACAAAAGACATGGTGACTCTACCTCACGCATTCGATTAGCAGATGATCATCAAGACTCATCTATTGAATTGCGCAATGTCGACAACTATCAGCCCGACGACGAGATCAAAGCATCTTTCCGGTCTTTGTTCACATTCACGACGAAAAAGCATACCTTCAATATAGTTTTTTGTATCATTTTCGCAATTGTGAGCGGTGTTCTAAAACCGATATCGGCAATCTTTTATGGAAATATATTTGGGTCTCTTATCAATTATGGAGGCGGTGTCATTACAGCACAGGAGACATTACATCGAGTCTCGAGATGGTGCATAGCTATTTCCGTACTTGGAGGTGCAGTATGGTTATTCGAAGGCCTATTTCTGTGCTCGTGGATGGTGTTTGGAGAACTCCAAGCGAGAAGCGTCCGTGAGAAAATGTTTGCTGGCATGCTGGAGAAGGACTTGGAATGGTTTGATCTGCGTAAAGATGGTATTGGATCATTACTGATTCGAATTGAAACGTAAGCCAATCGACAACTTGACCCAAGACATCAATACTAATTAATGGCTAGTCAAATTCGAGAGCTTCAATTGTCTACATCCCAACCTCTTGGATTCCTTCTATTTGAGACTGCTGGCGCCGTAGCAGCTCTTGGGACCGCCTTCTTTTACTCTTGGAATCTGACTCTTGTAATTATAGCAGGATTTCCGATTGCTGGTGGGATACTCTATCTTATCTCTAAGAAAATGGGCCCTGCCATCGAAGCCCAGAAAAGGGAGCTGTCACAAGCTTCAAAATTCACAAATACTGCCATCACAGCAATTGATACCGTCAAAGCATTCAATGGACAAGATCAGGAGGTTTGGCAATATTTCTTGGCAATCAAAAGATCCACCGTTTGTTACATGATACAAGCCAGGTCAAATGCAATTCAATTCGGGATTACGAAATTTGTCATGGTAGCAATATTTGTCCAAGGCTTCTGGTATGGTATCTCTTTAGTCGATCATGGACTAGATGCCGGCAAAGTTCTTACGACTTTTTATTCTTGTTTGACTGGGATGATGGCTATAGAAGTTGTCTTACCACAATGGCATGTTTTGGCAAAGGGAATGTCGGCGGGGGCCACTCTCAAGTCTATCATGAATCAAGTGGACCGAGGAGGAATCGCGAATAAAACAGAAGAGTCAGTAACACCGGAAAATTGCAGTGGTGATATCGAAGTGAACGATGTGAGTAACAATTGTCACGATCAATCGCCCAAGCTAATCGAAACCAGGTTACATTTGCATATCCTTCGAATCGACAACAAAATGCTCTCACCAAGGCGACATTCTTCTTTCCTGCGGGCGAAACAACGTTTGTAGTTGGTAAAAGTGGTTCCGGAAAGAGTACACTGGGAAACTTATTGCTCAAATTTTATGAGCCACAGGAGGGTAGTATCTTAGTAGATGGCCAACCTATACAGGATCTCGACACCGATTGGCTGAGACACAACATTACGCTCGTCCTACAGCAGAGTGTCGTTTTCAACGAGACAGTCAGGAAGAACATAGAATTCGGCAAGGAAGGAGCAACGAATGAAGCCGACATCATGAATGCCTGTTCTGCAGCCAGTTTAGAGCAAGTGATTGCCGATCTCCCTGATGGTCTTGATACTATGATCGGTTCGAAGGAGAGACAATTAAGTGGTGGGCAAAAGCAGCGGGTCGCATTGGCTAGAGCTAGATTACGGGATGCACCAATCCTCATTCTCGACGAAGGAACGAGCGCTCTTGATCTTACCAATAGACTCAAGATTATGAACAACATTCGAGAATGGCGTAAAGGAAAAACGACAATCATTGTAACACATGACATCTCACAGATCTTGGATGATGATTATGTCTACGTCATGGAACAGAGTAAGGTTGTCCAGGAAGGATATCGCAGAAAACTTTCTGCGAAAGCTAATGGCACCTTCGCCACATTTTCGCCGCTCCCAGATGCGCCTGTTGAGCAACCCATAGATTTGTCGGACATGAGAAGGAACTCAGACCCTGGAACACCACTATCTGGGAGTTTCGAAGAGTTCGTCCAAGAATTAACCCCTCGCTTTTCCACCATGTCCACACTGTATAGTCCAAATGCAGCAAATCGCCGCTCTTTGGATATGTCAAACAAGCGTCTGTCTCTTAGATACGCATCCATATCTTATGCTAATGACTTGCGATCAAATGATATTTGGACATCAAAAATCAACAGCCCAAGTTCAAGATTCGACGACTTTCAGAGACCTACCTCACGATTTCAAAAGTTTCAAGCGTCAGATGCAAGATCGTCTATAAATTCCACGCCACCGCCGAGATACCAAGAGGCAAGATTTCAATCCATCGCAGAACATCCCGAGAGCAGACAGAGCTTCAACAGGCAATCTTCAATTCAACGACCTATCAGCTTGAAACCAGTCGAGACAGACCGGGACTCTAAAATCGCCCCCATAGATTCTCTTTTGGAATATTCCGACTCCACCGAGAACGCGGAAGAGTCCAAGCCAAAGGAAGAAACAAAGCATGAAAAACCTGATTCCTTAACCAAGATATTGAAGACCGTTTGGCCAATGCTGAATAAAAGGGAACGTATGATTCTTTCAAGTGGATTCTTTGCTGCATTCATCGTGGCAGTTGCAACACCAGCATTTGCTGTCATATTCGCCAAACTTCTTGATACATTCTACCAAACAGATAATCGAAGCTCAAACGCCATGAGATGGTCACTCTCATTACTCGGAGTTGCGATAATTGATGGTACGGCATGCTTTTGCTCACATTATGCTCTGGAACATGCTGGACAAGCCTGGGTGAGTGCTTTACGTGTAGAAGCACTGAAAAGAATTCTTAGTCAACCAAAATCTTGGTTCGAAGAATCTAGGAATTCTTCCGGTCGACTGAACGAAATCCTGGATAGAAGCTCCGAAGAAATGCGCAATCTTGTTGGTCGCTTTGCTGGCATCGTCTTCACGGCATTTTGGATGTTGTTGATATCAATCATATGGGCATTTGTGAATACATGGAAACTCACACTAGTCTCGATGGCATGTGGCCCTGTCATATACGCAGTCACCAAAGTTTTCAATCGCGTGAGTGGGAAATGGGAAAACAAGTGCAACTACGCATCCGAAATGACGACTAGTATATTCTCAGAAACCTTTTCCAACATCAAAGTTGTACGGGCGTTCACTCTGAAAACATATTTTCAAACTAAGCACACCAAAGCCACCAAAGAACTGTATAAAATTGGAAGGATACGAGCAAATTACTCGGGAATGCTTTGGGGACTCACAGACGCCGTGACCTTCTTCATCACTGCCACCATCTTCTACTACGCCACTGTCCTCATTACCAAAAATGAGATCAGTGTAGCCACAGCACTGCAAACAGTCAATCTACTACTCTTCGGCATTTCAAACAGCACCAATATGCTGGCCATGATACCGCAAATCAACTCTTCTCGCGTTACCGCTACCCATATGCTCGAATTAGCCAACCTCGATTCTTCTTCCTCCCACGAAAATAAAGGAACGGAACGACTCTCTTCCATCTTCCCAATTAAATTCGACCGCCTTTCATTCACGTACCCTGCCCGTCCGGAAACACGAACCCTTTCATCTATTTCTATATCCATCAGCCCCAACTCAACAACCGCACTTGTCGGCCCTTCCGGTTCGGGGAAATCCACAATAGCTGCCCTCCTCATCGGTCTCTACCCACCCGATACCTCAGTACCTCCACCCTTAACATTCAATCGCGTCTCCATAACCAATTGTCACATCCCGTCTCTCCGAGCCTCTATCTCCCTAGTCCCACAAACACCCATTCTTTTCCCCGCCACCATCCTGCACAATATTATCTATGGTCTCCCAGAATCTTCATCCTGTGCTAATCTCCCATCTGCAATTGCAGCTGCGAAAGATGCGGGGATCCACGAGTTTATTACTTCGCTTCCGCAGAGCTATAATACGACGGTAGGAGATGGGGGCCAGGAATTATCGGGGGGACAGGCGCAGAGGATTGTGATAGCGAGGGCATTGGTGAGGAAACCAAAGTTGTTGATTTTGGATGAGGCGACGAGTGGGCTGGATGGAGGTAGTGCGGAGGTGGTTAGAGAGACGGTGCAGAGGTTGAGGAAGAAGGAGGGGATGGCTACCTTAGTTGTTAGCCATACGGTTGAGATGATGAAGATGGCCGGACGGGTGGTGGTGATGGAAGAGGGGAAGATAGTTGAGAAGGGTGGGTTTGAGGAGTTGAAGAATAGAGTTGGTGGTAAGTTTGGGGCGTTGATTGGAGAGGAGCCGGGGGATAACGCGATGAGGGAGGATGAAAATGATATTGGGGAGGGTAGTAGTAAGGCTGGTGGTGCTAGTAGGGAAAGTGGGTTGGGGATTAGTATCCCTGGGTATGAGGAGGTGGATATTGAGCATGGAAGGGATACGCCTGTTAGAGATGGAAGGAGAAGAGAAACTTGGCTGCGGCCGAGCAATCGCTGAGACACTATATCATTCGCTACCCGTATCTCTTTTTCGCAAGTTTAAAATTTTAACCATCGACTATTTGTGTGTAGATTCCAATGCATTCTCTGCTACAATGCTTCAGGGACCATATCTCTTGCGTATGTCTTTCTTTAAATACTTCCGCTACATAAAAAGGAGAAAATAAAGATTAGATAGAATATAATGCATACGTTTATTTATGAATTCGTCCATACCATACTTTTACTTGAAATGATCATTTAAACGTGCAGTATGGTTGGTTGCTCGCGATGAAAACTTAAAGGATCAGGAATCACCCCCCAAAAGACAACTTGTTGATATTAACTGAGATGCAAAAGACGGAGAAACTACTAAGCTAGCAAAATTGCAAGGTCTCAAATAAATACGGACGGGGTATCGATTTGAAGGGAATGGATGTATAAGTAGATGACAGGGACAGATGGAAAAGTGACCCAACAGAGCACAAGGCGAGGAAGATTCTAGTGAAGACGCGGCACAATGAAAGAGGGATTTGGAGGTATGTTGTAACAGGGAATGGGATAGAGATCGGAATTTACATTCAGTTGATATAGCTGACACAGGAGGAACTAGCTAGTCATAACTGAAGCTTCCAATTGATTGGCAATACGTTTCGGATCCTAGATGTTCAAGCCAGGAAAACTCATGATATGCTATGAGTAAATCAGACAAGGATTCGCATAACGAGTTTGGTCTGCGAATATCAAGAGATGGATATACGAGTAGTAACAACCACCTCATTTTGGCCTTCATATCTCATATACTATGAGTGATCTCCTCGAGGAATGCAAGTGTACACCACTTGGAGATTTTTGTCTAGCTCTTTTAGAACATTCATCCCAGTATCTAATGCTGACCATTCACCTGTTCAGATTATACGAGTAGTGGAAAGAGAGTTGTTGGTAAGTGTTGGTATCAACGGGAACACCTTTAAGGTCTACGATAGTAGAAAGCCCGACGAGTATTCAGTGTTGATATTTATAAAAAACTTATTAATTACTATTCTATATGATAGAGACTATATGTGTATTAAGGTTCTTTCACTAATGCTTACCCTAGCCCTTTGCTAATACAGCGCCGGTGCTTCGGTACAATAGATGATTATACCGATACTGGCAACTCTTTAAAATCATGTAAAACCATATTCAAAGAGTATACTAGTCCTCCATCCTGTAGATTCCTGTAAATCCTAAAAAACTCCTTTCAACTCCTGTAAACTCCTACAAATTCCTGTAAACCTTTTTCTTATTCACATTCCATCTATTCCATCATTTTAATCCTGACCTTGTTATTGTTGATAAATCCTTTTTTTGAATTATTCATCTGCCATTGGATATATTTATTAAATATTTTTGTATCTTTCTTTTTTGTGTTAATAATCTGGATAGTAATAAAAAAATCGAATAATACCTCTGATTGGTATACAGATGTAATATAAACTCCTTACATCTTGATTTAATATAAATAAATAATATTTCCTAAGCAAAACCAAAAAACATCTCGTCCATGTAGTCAATATGCTCCTCATTGATTTTGTTTTGACAAAAGATTGAATATTGTGATCCCTGGCCAATTTGGTTAATTTGATTAATTTGATTAATTTGGTCAATTTTGATTTGGTCAATTTGGTCAATTTGGTCAATATTAATGACATTTGGATAGGTTGCTTCGGGCGTGACTACATAGTTGCATATGAGGCTGAATAGCTGGTGGTGGTACCTGTGGTTGTGGTAGCTGTTGTTGCTGTCGTATAATGGCCTGTGGGGTGCTCAAAGGTCGTCGTGGTGGTAATAATGGTGATGCTGGTCGTCGTCCAAAATCTGTATAAATCATATGGGTACATATACCAGATCTGAATTTTGGGTCAAGTTCGGGGTTATTCTTAATGAAATTCTTGATTTGTACCTTTATTTATCAAATATATTTGTTTATTTATATTGAATTGAATATAATAGTTGTAATATCGGCTTCTGGAGTAATATAAAGTTCTTTGTGGTGTAATATTTACCACATTTATTATAATAGATATTTATTGATTACTAATATATCTTTTAATATGAACTATCCGAAGTTATAATGAATTAACTCCACCAGGTTGATATCAATAATATTCTTTTATTGTATTGAATATATTTGTATAAGGCATATTTATTGATTTTATTGATATCTGTATTAGAATCTTTATTAGCAATAATTCAATTCTGATATTTCTTTTTCGCAGTATAGTATTCGAATTTGTCTTAATCGATTTCTTGGGAATATTCCGATATAATACTTGAAGGTATGAAGGAAGGGTTCTAAATAGTGTTTTTGTAATAAAGAATTTGAAAAGTAAAAAAATATCTTGAAT